GTTTCTTCTTTGGGCACTTTCCTCAGCCCTGGGTATTCTTTAGAGTTCTCTTTGCCCCTATTATACAGTTATACTTGATAATTCTTTATATTAAACTTTTCCTGTTCAAATTATGCTTGGACTTTCTCTGGTACAGTCAGACTGATACAGAACTGGTACTGGGAGCAATCCTAAGAGGTAGACTTGTAAAGATGAAATTGGGGGTTGGGTTTATCATGCCCTTGGATGTTTCGCACAGTGCTGTGCCCCTTGCCAATGGGAAATGGGGAGCTGGTAATCCCTGGGACATCACAATCAATCACCTGTGTTTGACTGTAATGAAGTGTCAACTGAAGCAAATGTCTTAGAAGCCCAACTGGTTGTACTTGACTTTATGGAAGTCAGTGATGGCCATAGGGAATGTGGTGTGAGACTGATTTTTCTGAGTGCCTTTGAGTACTTAGAGAAAGAAAATGACAACCTCAAACCTTTTGACTCTCAGCTCAAGTCACAGTTGGAGAAGCAAAAAGCTTCATGACAGCCCTAAAAGAGCCTTTTCTTTTTACCCAGAGGGCTGATATTGCTGGAAATTAAACATAAAATTTCATTGTATGGGTTGCTGAGTGAAAACAATGGTTGGATTTAGTTTCTGAGCCTCTCTTTCCTGAGGAAGCAGCCTGCAAACTAGCCTTCCTTTACATCAAGCATGTCAAACTCAAAGGCTAACACGGGCCAAATAAACAAAGTTTATGTGAGCCGCAAAAAAACAAAAGCTTCAATTCTCATAGAAATGTAGGTTTATTTCGATAGAGACATGCTGAATACAACAGGCTGAAATAAATGAGTAATCGTTAACATAAAATAATAGAACATTTTAATAAAAATTAATATTTTTTCTTGAACATTAACTTACCAGACACTGAATAACTGCACAAATTAATAAGTGTAACGCAAATAAATCTATTTTTCTTATTCTCTGAAAGTGAAATATTTCCTGTTGCGCACACCAAACAAGTCAGTCCAAGACTAATGACATGGCAATCGGCTGCTAAAATATTCACTGCTAGTATTAGTGGAGAGAAGTGGTGCGCCTGAGTGTAAGGCGAGTAAAGGAAATTAATGCAACACGATTATAATAATCAGCCGTTAGCGAACATTGTAGTTCGTTATTAATAATTATGTATAACAGGATATTGTAAAAATTAAGTTACAAAATTTTTATTAAAACGTTTCTTACATACCGTTATATTGGCTGGGCCACAAAAATATTCATTGTGGGCCACATGCGGCCCGTGGGCCTCGAGTTTGACATGCTTGCTTTGTGTGAATACTCGTGAAAACCACATTTGGGGCAGACATATTGAAAGGGGTCTTTCAGCTCTGGCCTGTTTGGCTCTGTGATTGGAGCGTCAGTTCCCAGACTGAAGCATCAGGGGCTGGATTCTAGTGGAGGGCACGTGCCCAGTTGAGGGCTTGGTCCCTGGCCCAGTCAGGCGCGTGTGGGAGGCAACCAATTGCTGTCTCTCTCACATCTATGTTTCTCTCTCTCTCTGTCTCTCTCTCTCCTTTCCATGCTCTCTAAAAATCAATGGGAAAATATCCACAGGAGAGGATTAAGAAAAAAAGAAAGAAAGGGGTCTTTCATTCTGTTCAAGTCCCAATCCAATCAGCCCCTATAAGACTAGACACATAACCAAGGTTAAATCTCAGCATATTCCAGCAGGACAGGCATACACTGTGACCCAGGAAGATACAATCTACACACTAAGAAAACTGCCACAGTGTTCTAGCATGTGTCATCAGAAACCTGGGGGACGTGTAGGAGTTCATCCTAAAGATGTTAGAACAAGAAGAGTGGAATGTAGCACTAGGTCAGGCCAAATTCTCTTCCTGGAGAGCTTTCTGGGCATCATGTGGAGGGGGAAACCCAAGGCTTAGAGAGATAGGAACATTGGACCGGCTGCACATGTGTAACCTGTGTGTCCACCTCCCAACAAAATTCCAGGCAAAGGTCAGAAAGCACTCCTGTCCTGAAGGCACCCGCCTTCCTGGAAAGCTCTGTGTTTGCTCTCTTTTATAGGCTAAGTGTGACTGTAGGGGATGGGATGGGTCCACCAAGAGGAGCCTGCTCATTTCCACGGGGATCATGGGATCCCAGAGTAGCAGAGGCCAGGTGGCATCATTAAACTGCCAAAGACAAGGTGTGTGGGCACAGCTGGCGTAAAGGTAGGCAAGGACATCAGTAAGCAGAATGCTTCAGCTCACAAAGCTGTTTGGCAGTAGCTAACTGATCAAAATAGATGAGTAGCCTGCCCGATGGCTTGATCTATATAACAGGGAGAACTCTAGGTCTGGTAGCCAAAAACCTGGTTTGAGTTGTCCTAGTGGCAAGTCACTGCCGTTAACTCAGCTTCTCTACCTAAGTGAATTTAGACTCAGAGGTCCTTGAATGAAAGTGTCTCTCATGGCCCACCCTAATCAGAGCCTCACAGAGAGGAATTCTGGGCCACCATACCTACCAAGGGCCAGAACAAGGATCTGCTGTCCAGCCCCTACTCTTAGTCATTATTATCGTTTATCTCCCTGCAGGGCACCCTCAACCCTGGTCTGAATGGCATGAATCCAGCTGAAGCTCACCAGGATTTGTGTGGGGGTTAAGGAGTGCACATTGCATTCTAGGTGACCGAACATCCTGTTTGCTCAGGACTGAGTAGTTTCCTAGGTGTTGGGACTGTCTGTGCTACAACTAGAAAAACGCTGGGCAAACCAGAACCCCCATAATCCAGGAATCCAGCCACCATTCTGGCAGCTGCATTGCCTACGAGTACAGGAAAACAGAGATGAATTGCTCAGATCTTCTCTGATTTTTGTTCTATTGCAGGATAGATGAAAACCTGCCATTCTTTGGAGTGTTATCTCAATCCCTTGAGGTTCTGCTTCCCGGCAATCGTCCATAATTTGGCTCAAATAAACTCACAAAAAATTCTTTACAGGTTTGAATGTTTTTCACGTTGACAACACTCATAGCAAAACATGTCCACATTTGATTGTAATTGATTTAGTCAAATAGTGTAAACAGATAGAACAAGTTAGCTCTTCTTGAAATCTAGTAGATTTGAGGCAGCCGTCTTCTTACACAATGTCTGTAGGCAAGCTCTGAAATTACCTCTCAGCTGCTGGTCTTGGTACATCCACAGTTTTTTTAATAACTTACTGCCACTCCCTCCCCCTTATCAGTGGGAAAATGGTGAAGGTTGTGGAACAGAAGCCATAGGCTGATGACGTTCTATGAAGCTGAGCACATCAATTTTAAGGTCTATGTCCCAAAAGTCCTCCTTCTTATCTCAGAGTATGCTAGCCCAGCAGAGAGAAATTCCACATTTACTCATTATCGATTAACTCAGGCTCTAAGGATCAAACTCTACTCCTTCCTGCTCTTAGTTCTTTTCATCACATCACATTATACTGAGAAGACAAAGGGAGGTATGCAAACTGTATGATTCTATGTATATGAAGTTCTAGAATTGGCAAAACTAGTCAAGTGATAGAAATCAGGTCTCCTGGGACTGGCTGCAATGGGGCACAGGGAACTTTTAAGATTGTTGAAAATGTTCTGTATCTTGACAGGTAGATACATTTGTCAAAGCTCATCAAACTGTTTACTTAACTATATGTGTTTCATTACATATAAATTATATCTCAATAAATTTGATTTTGTTTTCTTTAATGCCTTTGAAATTTCTCATAAGTATCACATCATTCTAAGTATTAAACTTCCTGACAATTGCCTTTCAATTCAGGGCCACACTTGAAATTTAATCCTCTTCCATCTTTTGTGCCTGTCTTTGATATCTGAGTTTATTTGAGTATTTACTAGGCTGCCAAATGTGTCTCTTGAGATAACTCCTTTTTCCTCCTATCCAACATCATCCTTGTCTGCAAGATCCAGAATTCATTTTGAAGCACTTGTCCCAAACGCTTGTCACCTTCTCTTTGGAGTCTCTGTCGAGGGAGTCCTACCATTTATCAACATTTTTACATCCGTCTTACCGAAGTCTGGGACATATACCTAATCACATCCAACTCTCCCTGACTATCATGAAACCTAAGAAACTCAGCATGTTTTTCCCACGAGTTCGTGCCACTTTCACTTCTCTGACCAGTTCCTTCTTGTGCCCAGCATTTGGAGCTTACTTCCTCCACGTTCTGAGAAAATGTCCACTTAAAAGAATTGCTAAACCCTGGAGCATGGTATTTTTAGACATAAATGAAATTAGAGGTCAGTAATGACCCCCTTCACTTGTTATATGAGACATCTAAGGTCTTAAGGCTGAGGTGTTTGAAATCAAAAGAAATACATATATGTATATATAATATTTATGTTATATTTATAGCATATAGCATTTATAAAATATAATATAAATATGTGTATTGTGGACGAAAGGGGCCATATGCTAACCTGACAAGCTCAGGGAAGGCCTGCATGGCAGTCTTGAAAACTCAGAGACCTAAAGTAACCACAAAGGATGGTCTGAAATTAAAAGCAGTTGTGGTGGGTAGTTACATCCTAAGCCAGTATCCTCACTGACAAGGTCAACCTTTACCTTAACTGAGCCTATCTGTCTTTTCGCATCTATGATAACATACTCTTGAAATGTCTGGGTAACTTGTAACTTCCCTTTTTCAGGACCCCTTGGGTTCCTTCATTGTTATAGTTATCATGTTAATTGTTGACTGTTGACTATCCTGCACCCACCTAAGTATGTGTCTATCATTTTACTTTTTATCCGATCCCAGGGGTTTTCCCACTTTGCTTTCTCCCACCTCTCTAGTCTATCACCAATGGATTTCATGTAACACATCTACGTCCCCTCCTTGGATTGCAATGTGTAAAAATAGATGAAACCTGCCATTCTCTGGAGCACTATCCCATTCCGCTGAGATACTGCTTCCCTTCCCTGCAATTGTCTACAACTTCACTCAAATAAACTCACAAAAATTCTCTACAGGTTTCAATGTTTTTCGTTGCCATTACTTGGCATAGTCAGCAGGATTCCAAAGAAGCTCACTCAGGACTATTCAGAGGACTCGAACCCAGTGCCAGGATCCAGCAAGGGTCCCATTGAGCCCGCGGGTTCCCCACCCATTGGGTGAATTTGGGTGAGTTGTCTCTTGGATCTAGGACCTTCCCTTGCTTTCGTAGAGGGTCTGACTTTATTTGAGCTGTGTTTTAAAATCCTCAAGGTGGAACCTGGGTTGACAGAACCCAGGTTAAGCGTTGACAGAACCCAGGCTAAGGCGGGACTGGAGGGAAAAAATGGGTGGCTGGTTTTGATGTTGGCTTTTCAATTGGAATTGCTTTCTGAGAGTCTGAACGAAAACCTATGCCATATAAATGAGCTGAGCTCATCCAGCTGTGAAGATAAAGGGCACATCTTCCCTCCAGGGAAGCACTCCTGGGGGACGTGTAGAAGTTCATCCTAAAGATTGTTTAAAAAGAAAACCTGAAGTTTTCTTGGGTGTTCTTAGGTGACTAAGAATCTTTGTGGAGGTGTCAGATGTGCAGGAGCCCCCTAGGGAAGCCCCAACTCAACTGTAATTAACTAAATGGCTGTCTTGGGGGCCACCATAAGGCTTGGTCTGCCCGGGCCCTGAACCTTTCCTGTGGTTTTAGACAGCCAGGAGAGAAACTGACCCACTGCATAACATGTCTAGAAAATTTGCTCAGACTACAGATATCTGCCCCCCACCCAAAAAAAAAAATTAACATGGGAAGTTGTGCCTCCAAGGCCAGAAGCTCCTAATCCCCAGCCCTCATTTAATACTCCTGAGAGGAAGCCTTTACTTGCAAGTGCTTTACAGAAATGTGAAGATTTAACTAGAAAATATCAACTTAGAAATGGCCAAAAGGCAGTTGTTTTGGGGTACCTACATTAATATTTTGCATGCAGAAATTAGAAAAATGCCAGCTCTGAAATTAAATTGAATCACAATATGGGAATCATATTCTGATTTGGAAATTAGAAGCTTCTAAGGAAAAGCATAGAAAAAAATATTCTTAAAAAAAGGGGGGGATGGAAACTAATAAGAAATTTTAGAGACTGTCTCAGAACTATTCTGAAGTTAACAAATGCCTACACCCCTTCTTTTCTGAGTTTCCTTGTCAGGACTTGCCCTTTCCTCTCTCCTCTTCCCCTTCTGTCTCCTCTACTACCACTGACTTGAAGAAAAACGAGAACAGGAATTCTAACAGCTCCCTTTGGAAAAAAGCTGGTCTCAGCTAGAGAGGAACCAGCGATTGTTCCCGACTTTACCTGGACCCTGGTGGATTCACAAAAATTTAACTGTTAGAACATGTAATCCTGGCTATTCTGACCTATTCCAATTAATACACCTACTGGTTTCTACAAACAAGGCAACAGAACTACTAAATAAGGTCTGCTGTGAAACTGCAGAGGAGTCTTTTGCTGTAAAAAGCCAGGTCACCATAAGAAAGACTGTTTAAAAAGAAAACCTGAAGTGAGAGGTTATTTTCCCCTTCGCCTTACTAATATTTTAGGATAAATTGAAATTATCTTGAAAGGGGAAGTTACTAAGGCCCTTGTAGATACTGCGGCTCCTTTATCTGTTACTAACCCTGCACATCTATGTTTCCCTCTCCCTCCGAGTAAAGCTTCTGTACAAATGGTAGGGATGTCTAAGCAGCCAATGGCTGCTTTAAAATGAGAACTTGTCCCCTTTCAATTAGGGCATGTTAAGGGACAACATATTTTACTGATCAATTTGGTCCCAATTCACCTGATAGAGATTTTAAAATCAGTGATGCCCACACTTTTTTTTTCAGAAGTCTGATATGTATTTAGAACTAAATGAAACAGTTACTGAACAAAAGGGAAAATGATGAATTTAAGGGAACCCCAAGAGGAAAATAACAATATTTTTATGTTAACAGTATATATACATGCATATATAAATAATCCCTGGGAGAATTTTTTATTTTTTAATGAATTACAAAAGGATTTATTGAGAATTTCTAAATGTGTACATCTCTACTTTATTATACATAATTCAAGGTCCTGCTTCTCCAGCTAGGGTAACTATATCTCCAGGGACATGCAATAAAAGGCTACAGTGGGCAAAGTTCACGGGACAGGTCAGATCTTACAGGAATAATTTACATTATGGGACACAATATAAAAATGTTTTTGTACTGAAACATCCGTAGACAACTAGCAGAGTAAAATAGAAAATGCTCACATTTCTAAAATCAAGTATGTAACTTCAAAGAAATTTTGCACTAGGTGTTCCTTTCTGCCAATGCAGTTTAAAAGGTGGGAGGCAGGGAAGGGACCACAGCCACCCTGTTTTCGTGTAATCTGTGAAACTCTTTTCACAGAGAGATGCAGTATTCAGGAATCCAGTAACAAATTGAAAGGATCCTATATAATAAAAGGGTAACATGCAAATTGACCCTAACAGTGGCACAACGGGGAATGACCAGTCGCTATGATGCACCCTGACCACCAGGGGGCAGAAACTCAATGCAGGAGCTGCCCCCTGGTGGTCAGTGCACTCCCATAGGGGGAGCTCTGCTCAGCCACAAGTTGGGCTGATGGCTGTGAGCGCAGTGGTGGTGGCGGGAGCCTCTCCTACCTCCTCCACAGTCAGACTTCCCCAAGGGCTCCTGGACTGCCAGAGGGATGTCTGACTGCCATTTTAGGCCCGATCCCCTAGGGAACGGCCTAAGCCAGCAGGTGGACATTCCCCCGAGGGGTCCAAGACTGTGAGAGGGAGTAGGTCAGGCTGAGGAACAGCCCCCC